CGATACTTCCACAGCGTATAGGCCTCATATATAAATCCATTACTGTCAGGAAAAAGCCTGAATCGATGGAACTCCCGGCATCGTATATCTCGCATACCTTTTCATTCCAAGTTAAATTCATTTTAATCCACGCCAAAAACGATTTCACGAATATAAAGAATTCTAAAACGAAATCGATGAACGGTCACCGTGAAAATGGATGATGGAACTGGATCCCGGCTGGATCGAAATTCTTGCAGTTAACCGTGTATTTCGATACGAATTGTTTGCCATTTAATATAGCTCGACAAACTTCCTTCGATTCCCCGAACAAATTCCAGAGGCAATGTATTTCGTTGCATTTCGAGGATTACGCATTTTATTTTCTTAATCGTTCGTTAAGTCGGTCATTTCTTTGGAACTCATTATGCATTATGTATTTTTTGCGAATATGCTTGCACTGAAAGCATAACAACTTTTAATAATAATATTGAAATAAGTAATTACGAAAGTACTCGACCCCGTCGTTCTAGAATTATTAAAAAGTCGCCCGGTAAAACGTTTTTGTCTATCTTTATATAATTGAATTCCGACTCAGGAACGATTCTAATCATTTTAAATAAAACTAATCCGAACGATGTTTGGATTCATTTGCACCGGAACAATTTAGTGATTAGTATTACTCCGTAAAAAATATGATGGATACTACACACAAAACTTTAATTTACATTAGCCGTTGATGCATTTATAAACGATTTCGTTGAAGTTTCTGACTACGCGTGACCAAACTGAACGACGGATAAAATTCTCGTCGCCATTGAACACCTAAACGAGCTCGGGGGTCCCCGCCGTTTCGTGATCGGCGCAATTAGGGAGAATAACCACCAATTTTCCGCAATTAAAGAGGTTATAGCTAATTTTTACTTCCAATCGATGTCGAACAATTTTCTAAATCGAATCTTTACGTTCGATTAACTATAGCTATCAGCTGCTCTGGAAAACGTTAATCGATTTCATACAACTCAGCTTCAAACAATTGTCAAAACTGACATTGTATTCATGCAGTAGAGATCATGAATATTTATAAAAAAATATTAGCGAATATTTCTGTAAAGCGTCAAACAAGTTAATTAAAAATCGAAAACGAATTTTTAAGAAAAACCGACAGAGAAAAATTTAAGAAAAATTATTTTCGGTCGCAGAGGTCAATTACAATCATTTTTGGTGAATAGACATACCCCCGAAATCCTACGCACTTTCAAGAAAAAAATTCCTAACCAAAAATGTAATTTATGGCCAGAAATGTTGTCCGGAAATTTCATGCGAATGTTTAAATCATCATAACGTCCGAACGGATTAGAGGATTTTAATGTTTCAAACGGCAAACAACGCGTATTTTAATAGAGAATATGTAGAAATTCCAAAAATATTCGAAAAGTTGTCCCTTAACCCCGTAAAATGAGAAAAACCTCACAAAAATTGCCCAATTCTCAAACAGCCATAACTCCTACAATAGTTAATATATTTAAATTAAATTTTTTTCTGAACTAGCGCTTATGGGTGCCTACAAAAAAGTATTAGACAATATTTGCGTAGCGCGCCAAAAAAAAATTATTAAAAATCAAAAACGAAGATTTAAGAAAAATCGACAGGAGGGTAGTGTCAAAATTTTTTGGCGAAAAAAAATTTTATCAAATCGTTCTAAAAAAATTATTTTCGATTGCAGGGGTCAATTGCAATCATTTTTGGTGAATACATATGTCCCCGAAATCCTACGCACTTTCGGGAAAAATTTCCTTACCGAAAATATAATGTTTGACCATACATTGGCATGTTTCCCTGAAATTTCATGCTTATGTTTAAAACATCATAACTCCTGAACGAATTGGGGATTTCAGTGTTTCAAAATACAAACTAGGCGCATTTTACTATACGTTGATCCTATTGGTTATTTATTACTTCGAATAAAAGAAGTTTCTGTCCATCGACCTTCGTCGGTTCGATGACTGCATCCAGCTAAACGATACAGCGAGTTAGGGCGGGTGTCAGCTAATTTAGAATACGGAGTATGTCACAGTGGAAACTGTGAGGTCAAAGAGTAAGCGTGCAAACCGAAACGAGCGTATGGACATCTCGATAGGGCGAGGAAAACGAACGCTGAGGAGTAAGCGGCGATAGCGTACAAGTGGGAGGGCATCGATAGACTGACCGGGTGGCTTTGACCCGCCAATTCAGCATCACCCATACGGGCACTCAACCGCAAATCGAGTTCCGGCCATAGGGCAGAATAAAATCGACCCCCCCCCCTCCCCTCTCCAACCCTTCTTCTTCCACCTTCGCCCTCTCCCCCCCGTCCCCACTAAACCATACTACCTTCGGGCCGATTCAGATGTAGGCGAACCCGGTAAGACATTACTCGCGAGGGACGCGTTTATTCGACGCTCCGGGAGGGAAAGGAACTCGACGAATAGGAGAGAAAGTTAGGTTGGCTTTAATGGCCACGACCGAATGGAAAGGTCTGATCCTGGGGATATCCAGTTGCTGATATATATGCCTGCGGTTTCGCTTCTGGAAAATTACACACGATCCAATACGCCGGCGAATATTGTTTCCTTTCTATGATATAAAATTAGTAGACTAGCGAGACAGGATATAACCCTTCACTAGTTATTTTATTGTCACGAAAATTTGCCTGGGTAGTTCGGATAATAAACGTTCTTTACTGTACATTCATGAAAAGCGGGATAGCAGGAGGAAAGGACGATCGAGCACTTGTGAGAGAGTTAAGAGCGTGGCCCTCTGGCGACGAGCGAGAGGACTGTCAGAAATTTTCGAGGGATTACGAAAACGAGTACTAAAACAAATTTTAATTCATAGTTTACAACTGTCTAAATTCAAAGTTTTGGTCTCGTAAAAAATTTCGAGGTTTTAGTAAATCTATCATATTACATTAGTCAAGTTCAATGTAAACTCTTTAACTCCAAAGGTGGACTCTGACGCGAAATTGACGACCGAAACTCGTCGCAAAGAGTGTTTACGACGAATTGGACTCATTGTAGAGGGTAAGAGGGCAAAGATAACACGTGTGCGATGGGTTTTCACGGTGTAAGTGTGGGTTCCAAGGAGTCGTATGGATCGCCACGCGTGTCGTTCGTCTCTTTGCACACGCAAATGCACAGCTGTCCAGAGGTATGCATTTCGCCCGAACGAATAGCACGTACGATATAGCGAAATTTATGGATGAACAGATATACTTACCCACCGCCGACGGTGTTGAGTGCAACTTGGGGACGTTATTGTTGCTTTAAGTGTTACGACAACCGGCGAAACTTGTCTTGTAAGCGGAACGCGAATGAGGAAGGAACGGATTTATCGCTACGAAACAGAGAAACGCGACCGTATATACACGCAAACGGCTATTTCCGGGTTACGGAATAAAGTATCGATTGATTTTCATGTTTGCTATTAGTTCCATTCCATAGATTACTCTTTACAGGGCGTGTCGCCATAAGCGATGCAGCCGGAAATCTAAATGACTCTGTGCTAACGTATAAATAGAAAATACGGAACCGAGGCTTTTCCGGACGAGGTTTCGTTTCTGGAAAATCGATTTTGAGCACTGGCGTAACCGAAGGGTCAGAATTGAATTTCAGACGTTCAGATTCCCCAAATCGATACTGGTCGTTCAATAATTCTCGAACCAATTTTATTATCTTTTTTAAATAATTAATACAAGTTTTTTCCTGTTCAAGTCGGGTAAGATTTTAATTCAGCCATAAATATTAAAAGAATTTTCATATTTACAGTACGAAAAACCTTTTAAGTCGAACGTCAGGTTGAATGATTTTTATTAATTTTTTAAACGTAATGTCGCAAGTACTAAACACGTCGATAACAAATAACAGAACAATACCTAATATTTACGACTCGATGCATCCGATCGTTTGTCCTTATAAATCATGATTTATTTGCATACAATATTCGCGTACCGTGATGCGTACGTTTTGTCAGAACTAATTTGAATTTACAACAGTTACAGTCCGCACAATTAGAAACGTTGAATTTCGTATTTTCGTTAATGACGACAACGAATACGTAACCTTAAGCACGATGATAGGGTTCACTCTCGTAAAGGAGAATTTACGAGCCCTTAAAATTAAGATTGTGAAACTAATAAATCTGAATCCTCTGTAGGTGAAATTATGGCCAAGGAGACAAAAGAATTTCTCATAATACGAAACTTATTCGCGTGGGTGGGAACCTCGAAGATATTATGGAACCGACTTAAGCATTGATAAATGTATTCCTGGAGCAATGAAATTTTCTACGACGCTTCTGCGACTTTAATTTTAAAAAAAATTTCAGAGCGGAACTTCCTATTTTTTCGAATATACGTAAACCCGGAATTTTTAAAGGATGTACCAATCCGAGTGGTACAAAGATTTGAAGAGGTTTCCGCATTTATTCTCCGACCGAAATTCCAATTTCTTTTGTCGCGGATATCAAAGAGGCGGTAATTTTCCGTTTCATGAACATATAAAGAAGAGTCACAATAAATACATATGACAGAATAATTTGGAACCTGCAGGGTTTATCTAGGTTATGTTAATAACAGTATACAGCGGCACCTCGGCTTTTCATCGTAACTGTATATTTATGTCTACATCTACATAACAGATTTTATGTAATCCATTAATTCATATCGCGCTCAACGTATAATAACGTAATATTATTTTATTACGATGACTCAAATAATATTAGAAATTTATACAGAACGACATAGTATTTTCTGTATTACGTATGATTAGAAGCATTTGAAATGTTTATTTTTTTAAGTACACGGAATGTGTAGGGATTCATTTAATCAAACGAACGTTATCATATTATTTAAATAAATTGATAGCTCGTTGAATTCTTGTATAAAAATGTACTCGAGGATTTAATATAAAATAAGTGAAATTCCAAACGTAATGGTAAATGAATAGTGTGTAAAGATTATATTTGTTCTTTTTTCTTTCTAGTGCCGCCGGACATTTTGGATTACCAAACGAGCACAGACATGGTGGTGAACGAAGGAAGCAATGTCACTTTACGTTGCACTGCGACAGGATCACCGGCACCTAACATAACATGGCGACGAGAAGATAACCAATCCATACTCTTGGGGGATGGAACGGAAGGTCAGTCTTAATCCATGTAATAATTTGTATAAATTAAAATTAAATATGAATTAAAACGTTGAGTAAATTCGAGCTCTTTAGAAAGGCTGTTTCTACTATTTCGTATTGATAGACTGTTTAACTTATTGATAGATTGATTTATAGAGTATTATTGTTAAAGTAAATAAGGCCCAGATGGAATATTATCACATAAAGGAACTACAAAACACATGATACACGTACTATTATAAAATGAATTTGACAGGTATTACTTAAAAATTTTAGCCAGGCAATACCATTATCGATTTCGTACGTTAATATTTCGCAAATTGTGTTTCGCCATAAATCGAAATTAATAATTAAAAAAGTAAAATGAAATAAATTTTATATACGCTGATATAGGCGACATAAATTAAACCGTTTGAACAATGTTCTAAATGTAGTGACGTTTATTTTTTCTTATTAAAAGTCACAACGTGTATCGATTTGGTAAATAATCTTTTAAACACGGGATACAGTTTTAATTTATAATCAATTTACCGACTAAATCGATTATAAGTTAAATATGACTCTGAAATGACTGAAAATTCATCGGGTACGCGACAAAGTATGACTTGGCCCCAGCGCAAGTAGAAATAGCAAATATTGGTCGGACGCGTCGGACCAATGGTTTGGATATTCCACTTGTTCCAGACAAATTTTCAAATTTAATTATCTCGAAGACGAGACATCGTGCGAACAAATTTCATTCCACACTTTCGACTTATTTTTTTACGTAAAATCACCCTCCATGGTCGTACCACGATTACGGGGAACCCTGTGCAAACTATTTCCATCTTTCGGTTTTAGAAACTACAAATCAATAAGACAAACAATTTTTGTAAATCGTTAATGATAATAATCGTTGAAGATAAATCTAGAATTCACAATTTCATTTACGATCGTTGTATCAACTGCATTAATCGTATGTGCTTGTCTGCGAACAAATGCTGTGCTGATGCTGTCTTCTGTGAGTAATAGTATTCTTTCAAACGTCCAGCATTTTCTACTCTACGTCGCTGAACTTTCCGCTATACCTAATTTCCATTTATTTTTCTCATTTCTTACGACTAATATTTTTATATCGTTTATTTACTTTCACCCTTTTTCTCGCGGTATTTTCGCGCGTATAAAACGTCGACTCGTAAAATAATCAAAGCGATAAACAATGATACACGAAACTTTAAACGCGATGCTCTCGAACCCCACATTTTTCCAAATATTTTCCACGATATCTCAAGTTCCAGTCGATCGATCGGCGTCAAATTTAAAGGAAATCTTCAGCGTGCGTGGCTTTATCGCCCCTTACTAAAGTTTACAAAATCCCCATGTATTTTACAATACTTTTTTACGGGCAAGAGATAAAACAAACAAAAATCGATACACCAGCGTTAAAGCGCTGTCAGAATGTTACTTTTCAATATTTTGCCACGATTTTCGTATCGACTACGTTCATACAGGATAAAATGGTTTTTGGTTTGTTCGGTTTCGAACAACAGAACCGTTAAAATTGTGGCAAATGTAAATGCATTTTTAACAAAAGGGCCTCCCATCGAAACAGCTCTGTCTTCAACAATTTTAAATATTTTTACACGTAAAAAGCATCGTGTATACTTCTTAAATATAGACCAAATACATTATGCTAGATACATTTGTTTTCAACATTTGATGCAACGTGCTTTTACGAAATTTTGGAAAGAATTATAGCAGTATCGTGAATTATTCCGTCGACCAGAGGGCAAATGAGTTTCCCCGGATGACCATGGCAACATGCAGCGCGGTGAGAAACTTATTTTTGAGCCCCTGATGAACGTATTATATTTGGAGGTTTCCATTCCGTGGTCGATTGCGAATTCTGGCAAGCGTTCGCCAACTTTAGACGATACGTTTGTTATTTAGTGGGGTCGCGGTGCAATAAATAGATTTAAAATTCCCAAGTATCCGCGTTAAACTGCAGGATGCATACTCTCTGTAGATTCGCGGTGCAGTAACCCGGTCTCGTAGTCCCCGAGGAGGGCAAACACGCCGCGTTCGAGCAAGGCCAATAGGTTAGAGGGTTGTGATACGTTTACATAGTCGGGAAGATTTCCTATATTTGCATTGAAATTGGCAAACACCAAAAGGGTGCTATGCGTATCGAGTTTCGCATGCATGCCCCTAGCGTCCGTCTACGATGAAACAATACACGAAATTCGGGTCTCTGTTTATTTAAACGCGTATACCTTCCCAGCAATACGAATCGATTCTTCGCGGGCTATCATTCGTCAAGCCATTAAGCCAACTTCGACTCTACTTCCATATTTCATTTCGGAATAAAACTTATTTAGGCAAGATTTTCGACCGGTTAAAGCATTCTAAAAATGTAGGTATAGTCCGGGCCACAATATAGCGAGGTCGTAAACTCGAGTAGATGTCAATGTTTACATGTTTCAACTCCCGAAAAAAGTGAATTGACAGAAATACAAGCAGCTAAGGACCTTAGACCATAGTCAGGGCCGTACGTAGAAATGTTTTATCTAGTGTCGCCATTTTTAGAAAGCCATTTTTAGAGGTGTCGTAACAGGTAAAGGTTTTACTCAAGTCTTTAATATCTTAATTTACCTGCTTATAATATATGCATGTAGACAATTAAAAAAGATAGTGCAGTTACGGACATAGAAAGACATTCAGAAAGGCACCCTCAAGTAAGATGTCATGTACGGCCCTAAGTGTCGCAGCAGGAGTCGGTCCCAACCCTCGAGAGTTTAGTTTACGACCACGCTATATTGTGGCCCGGACTATACCTGTGATGTCTCTGGAATGTATCGCATTGATAGCTGCAATTTTAAATATTACAGTATACGTGACAGTTACGAATCTCTTTTTCCAGTGAATCCCTTTTCAACAACTTGAAAGAAAAGAATAAGGTGGGAATTTAAGTTATTTAAAATATAGTGTTCGAACATTTACAGAATATAATCGTATAGAGAATTTTATTGTCGAGCCTCGTGCATAAAAAGTGTCGACAGTAAGTGGTTCTAAATAGAAATTAGTCAAATACAAATTTTCGTTCTTTCCTATTTGGCATCGTCTAGTTTGTTAGTTGGGAGCAAATATTCCGCTAGATTTAATCGCGGTTAACGGGCGAATGTAAACTACCTAGACTTCTAGATAAGTAAACTAAATTTGGCGCCACGTACAGGAAGGAAACACCAAAACTGTGTTACTCGAGTTGTCTGTTACCTGTAAATTTCTGTTTGGACTCTGACCGCGAAAACAAAAAATTTCTCATCCCTGTATTGTTTGAAAATATGTATATAGACTATATGTATAACGCGAGCAAAATTATTCCGAGTACGGCAAAAGCTGGAAAGGAGGCGATTCGTCTGGAATTATTTTCTCTTTTAATTTAATAGCGTCAAAATTCAGGCATCAAAAATAACAGTTTAATTTCTACGAAGAAAAATCATCGACAAAAAATTCGTTGCTTAAGTCGAGGATAAAATCGACTTGGAAACTTTTTGGATACACGCTAATTATTATCACAGACACAGATTGAAAGTTACTCGACGGTCGGAAGCTAACATTGAATCTCGAAACCTGATCGAAGACGTGCGTTGAAGGGGCCACAGGTTAAGGGTCATTAACATTCCACGCACCACTCGCATACCAGAACTTCCACGCATAATACCTCGAGTACCATGGTATATTTATCCTTAGACAGTGTACAGTTTAAAGGATTAAAGTTGCAACGTTTGATACAAGTTCTATCTATGTGACTCTTACATAGGGAAAAGCTAAATATCTGAAACTTTCGTTTAAAATGTTTCGATAAAATGTATAAAAAAATGTAAACGTATTTTCTAGTATTTTACAACCAGAGATGAAAGTGACACGCCATAGCACGAAATAATAACGCTATACTGAGCTTTAAAAGTTCAAATTAATTAATAGAAAAGGTACTTTGGAAAGTGAATGTAAGGAATGGTACTGAAAAATTGTATTTTTAATTCAAGATTGTTGCGTTGTTTCAAATTCAATTCCTGTGCTGAGCGATCTTTCATTGAAATTACAAAGAGGGAATCCTTAAAAATCGAATTACAATTTGAGGTACATTTCTAAACTCGGATGTGTTTTTGATTACTTTTCAAAACAAATTATAGCAGGAAATTGCGACGCAGTTTGCATCGTATTCGAGACAGCAGTGCCAGGAAATATACTGACGCTGAAAAAGTTGTCCGAGCCCATTTCAAAAACTTCACGCTCGTATACCAAACTGTCTAAAAGTGTAACTTCACTGAAAGTTTTGAAAAAAAATTTAAAAAAAATTTATGTATATTCGGGATGCTTCAACAAGCGGTATCAAGCATCGCCAAACGTTATATTCATTCAAATAAAAAAATATTCATCGGGTACTAAAAGTTTATAAATATTTATAAATATCGCCAATACGTATTCTTTTATTTCTTCTGCGTTTGTGCACTTTCCACTCGAAATTAATAGATATTAATAACCGGGGATGTCCACGTGAGTTTCATAGAAATACAGAGGAACATAACACTGTGGCTGCAATAAATTAATTGCTGAATCTCAGAGAACGGTGCAAAAAAGAAAATTGACCGTTTCAGGAATATAAAATATTTGTTTGTTGATACAATATAATATTTAATATAAGCTGGAATTCTAATCAGTGACAAAATTGTGTTACAGTTACGAACATCGAGGGGCCAAATTTTAATATCACAAAAGTGAACCGATCGCACATGGGATCGTATTTGTGTATCGCGTCCAATGGTGTACCGCCTTCTGTCAGCAAAAGGATTATGCTGATTGTTCATTGTAAGTTTTATAACAGTATCATTTACATGTTGAATCGATCGGGAACGTCAGTCGATATGAAGTAATTTTCTATCATAAAATATTATCCATCTCACATATTTTCAATTGTTAAAACTTTATACATTTATATGCAAAGTAATGCATGTTGCACTTTACAAGTTGTCATACAAAGAATAATCTTTGTTACCGTATTCAACATTTTCCTTTTGACCATTTTTAAATATCTTTAAATAAGTCTTGGTTAATCGACGAATAACTTTTCTAAAAAATGTAGAATCTAAGTAAGTACAAAAATAGTGAACTTTGATTTTCCTTGCTTTTTCCAGTTTCCCCCAATATTTCGGTGCCAAATCAATTAGTGGGTGCTCGGAAAGGGGACCAGTTGACTTTGGAGTGTTATTCGGAAGCTTATTCGAAATCCATCAATTACTGGATAAGGGATAAGGATAGAATAATTCATCAAGGTACGTGTTTAACGTATTTAAAATGCGAAACTACCATGGTGAAGTTAATCGAACAGTCTAAACTGAACCACGTATATAAATAGTTGAAATAAAGTAATTCGACTATCGTCGGAATAGTTATTCGAACGAATAAAAAGCAAGTAACATCTTCGTTAGGGTTTACACTGCAAAAGATAATATGCTAATTCGACGACACACCGGCGAAAAAATCTTTAGGTATAATAAGGTCACGCGTGGACGTAGCAAGGAGTCCATGGCGAACGAGTTTCTTAAATTGGACCGGTTTAATTTGAACACCAGTTTTATTTTCAAGCCATTCTTAACATTTTTCAAACCAAATTAATGCGTTTCGAGTCTGCGTTTGTCTCGTGTCTTGTGAAAATAGAAAACAAATTATCACTCGAAACCTATGAATCTGGCTTATATGAAATATACGAGGCAAATATAGAAGCGAATTAAATTATGGGCCCAAATTTTCTACAAGAGAAAAATTTTGGTTTCAGACAATTATTAATCACGCGACCTTAAATTCACCCTTATTTCTACAACCTTACTAAAATCCAATCATATACGAGTGATGTCGAAATGTTAAAGTTTGTCGAACGCGGAACAATATTTGGAAAAATATTCTTGATTCGCTTGTCAGAAAGGACAATGTTAAGTCATAGAGGGGTTTACTGACCCAAGAGCGTACAGCCTATGCTATACACCGTTGGAAAGGTCTCGCCAAGGCGAATCGACTGATACCGTTTTTAACTTCGATATCAGATGGGATAATGTCGAAAAATGGCCTCAAAATTCGAGATTTTGCGGTTTTGAACAAAAGAATCCGGTCGTAAAAGCCCATCCGGCCCGAGGGACCTCGGGTAGGCACCTGAGGAAAAACCGAGGGGTGTAAGCGATACTCTAGCAGATTGGGACGGCAAATGTGCCCCACGTGTTAGTATTCAGTATTCACATTATGTTTCGTTCAATCAATAAAATGTCACTCCATTCACTATTGTAAGTGACGCATTAGTCTGAATACTAACCTGCACATTCCCAACTTATACCTGCGAATCGTCTATCATGAATATATTATGTTCATGAAAAACAACTGATCCATTGGCGATTTCGCCCTGGGCATTTCGAACGGGGCCCATGCGGCAAACGCAGGCCCAACACGGCACTGAAATGAAGGTGGTGGGGCACATTTGCCGTCCCAATCTGCTAGAGTATCGCTTACACCGCTCGGTTTTCCCTTAGGTGCCTACCCGAGGTCCCTCGGGCCGGATGGGCTTTTACGACCGGATTCTTTTGTTCAAAACCGCAAAATCTCGAACTTTGAGGCCATTTTTCGACATTATCCCATCTGATATCGAAGTTAAAAACGGTATCAGTCGATTCGCCTTGGCGAGACCTTTCCAACGGTGTATAGCATAGGCTGTACGCTCTTGGGTCAGTAAACCCCTCTATGACTTAACATTGTCCTTTCGTGTAAGTATCTAATGTGGTCCGACACAGACTATTGCTTTTGCGTTCCCGTGAACTCTGCTAACCTACCAGGCTATAATTATGCGTTTTCGTTGCGCACACACACTTCTCGCATAACGTATTCTCCGCGAAGAAAAGTAACCAGTTGTAACGAGCCTTTTGAATAATGAAAGCTTGATGCCGAACGCATAAACACGGCTACCGACGAAGCGCGAGTATAAACGTTCCGCTCTGCTTTATGGTCGGTCTATAAAAGGCAGCTTTAGTACTTTCCATCGATCCATCACCGTTCCTTTCAGATCCTGTATTTTCCATGTTTCGCGATATACATGCTCGAGGTTCGTGTCAAACACATTTCGAAGCACAGACGTTGTTCGATTTCTCCGTCTTCATCCGTCGATACTCTAGGATTAAACAGTTATATCCGATATCCGGGTGCTCGACGAGCAACACACGTTGCACTTAACCGGGTGAAACGAGGATTAAAAAAGAAACACGACGAAAATTATTTTATTTAAAGAAAAAGAGCAAATCGATGGGTTTCTTTCAATATTTTCATCGAAAGAGTTTTACAAAATGGAGTTCCCGGGCAACCGAACCGTAAGTTCATAATTCACAAAGTCCTACTACGCTGGTATAGTCTAACATTGCTTTTCTATTTAATTTCTTTGACCGCACGTCAAATCACTGAGACAGCGCATTAGTTTAATTAAAGAGGTTATTTATATTATTTTTCGCGAGACAGAATACTTTCAATGGAGCGCAGGAACTTACTTTGAAGCGATTTTTACAATATCGCGATGTCTCGCTCAGACATCAAAGACTCGCGTGCACCGTTTCAGCGAAATAAAATGTTTCAATTCGTTAAAATGTGTCCGGGTATATATTTTCAGTGAATTTTCGAAAGAACGTCGCGATGACGACTGGTTCTAGTTCGAGAGGAATTGCGTCCGTCTTTATTTACGTTTTATTACCGCGGCGTTTCTTTTAAAGCGCAAGACGCGACCGCGCGAGCGAACGAACTGTGACCTCTTGTTTTATTATTGTTACATTAGTAGGATTATGTGACCTGGGAAATTGAAACCGTCTAATACACTCGAAAGACCCAGCTCGCAAAGAAAACTCGAATGCAAGTCGAGACCACTTCTTGTTACGAAACAGAAAATTATTAATAATGTAGCAGGTAGGAGAATGTAAAGGTGAAATTAAAAGTCACGTTGCAATAACAATGATAAAATAAAATCTCTGAAATGTTGCATTTTTCTTCTGGGTAAATCTAATAATTCTGAAATGAATTTTTAATTTCGTTCTTATTATCCTGCACTTTAAATTTCTCTTTTAATCTCTTCGAAATGTTTCCATGGTCTGTGTTTATTTTCGCTGTACGAACCACTCGCGACTTATTTGTACATTTTATAATGCGTTCATCCGACTGATAGATCGCGACGCGTAGCCAAATGTTTTGTCAGATTCTTCTTTCAATCGGTTATTCAAACAGAATTATCTTTTGAATAATGCATGGGAATCTGAACAGAAGGTTAAAGGTATAGCATAATTTTATCTGACATTTATGAGGAAGACCGAGGATGCTGGTATGTATATGAAGACCGAAACGACACGCTCTGGCTTTTCCTCCTGTCGTTATTACGTCGCTAGCCTAGTCGATATTTGCATTTGTATCGAAAGCAATAATAGTATGTACAATGTGAATTCTGATCGTGCAATCGCGTTACCGTGTAATTTCTGGACGGAAAGGCAACGATGATATCCGTCGGTTATACGTTTTTACAACATAATTCCGTCGAAAGCCGCGGAATTAGAAGTTTATTTCGACCTTTCGTTGAAAACAGAAGCAAAGGGGAACTGTTCAGATTTAATCCGGTGCGTTTCGTTCGCGATTTTTTATAAATGGACGAAGCCGGAAAACTTTTTAATTACCGTGATAGCTTTTTGTAAAAATTGGTACTTCTGCGATAAAATGTTTCCTTTTCACAACGTAGAAGAAGAGTACATAAAAAAAAACAAATTAATTACCGACGAAGTTAATGTTGTTTCGAAACACTCGGCCCACATTCACCGGCTGGGACGTAATAATAATTATTACAAATCTCTGCAATTTAATTCCCGCGAAACGTTGATCAAAGGTCGAGCACTTTTAGTTTCATGTTTCACTCTATGCTACTTGAGAGTATAATATTTTAATATGCCTAATTTTAGGCAATAATACGTTTGTTCAAACTTCTATGAACTCAATAATATAATAGAAAACTTTCCAAATTTTGAAACAACGTTGTTACGATTTGGAGGGATTTGAAAATTTCACGAGTAGACTCCCTTTTTCGAAGGGACGACGATCGAGGAAGCCGATTTTCGGATTGTGAAGAAATAAAGTTTTGTGTACTTTTAGAGGTATTTTGAATGTTCACGAGAACACCCACATATACAAACTGTACACACACGTAACAATATAACGGTAAATTGATGTCGGTTTGATTTAGGAAGTGTTAACAGACAGACAGTTTGAACGGAACTCGACTTACAACGGCCGCGCGAGCCGCGCTGGTCATCAAAATATTTTGGCACCAGAGTCCGCGGATATTGGTTTAATAAAACCGCGGGCCATTCGAAACAAACGTTTTAATAGAACCGTTGCTAATATTTTTATCACAGTAACATCTTTGTTGTTAGTTTAGACATTGTTAGATTTATTTAAATTTTGCCGCGTCGCGACAGGGGAATTTCTGGTAGCGTTCGTAGTTGTGCTTTTCTATGATTATTTCGCTTTGCATCCACGTAGTCTTTCCATTCGCGGAAGATGGCACCATCGTTGGATAGAATCTAGAATCTTACGAGCTGGAGAACGGAAACGTTTCTGAATGGTGTCGATCTAAACAGAAATCACGTTAACTTAGACCGTCGCGTCGCGAATACTAAAATAACCCCGGGACATGGTAACTAGCCTAGACTATCTTCCAAACTGATTGAACTATTGTGACCTCCCTTCAAAAGCACCCGAAATTTCTGTACTCGTCTTGCGCGCCATACGACCGTTTCCGTTCGAAAAGACGAGTTAAAGCGTTATTTATTGTCCACGATCGATCGACTTGACATACGTTTCGTTTGCGTTATTCCCTCGACAGAATCGACGGTTGTTAGAATTCGTGAAAACTAAAAGCGATCCGACGTTAGAAAATGTTCTTTTCTCGTAACTTTAATATTTCGAAAAATCCGTTCTATAGAGAATCTGGTGATATTGATAAAAATTTTTGTCAGATTTATTTCAAACCATGAATATTAACAAAAATTCCTGTTAAAAGATTCACCAAAGTTTAGAACGTTTGTCAGATGTATTCAGCGACATGAATATTGATAAATGATTTTTAAACATATTCCAAATATTCATATCGCGGACTCAGCTTACGGTGTATCCTAATTTTACTCTTTAAACCGACAAATTCAGCGACCTGAAACAATATATCGTTCCGATCATCTAATCTGAATGTATTTACATTTTATTAACGTATCCCGAAGCTATAATTGATGTTCGAAATGATAGCCATTGGAATTAACGCAGAAGCCACCTAATCAATAACCTGCATATATTGTCAACTTGTTGCGATATAATTTGCAAACGTATCGTTGTAATTCGTTGTTTAATGTCCTTTGACCTACTAGATTTTCTAAATTCGACTGTGGTGTAAACGAAAACGATACCTTCAATTAAAATGGGAAAATGTTTGTCTAATAATTTGCACGCCCCTGTCTATTAGATGTAGCTCAATAAAATCAGAACTGTGTTGATAGAATTACAATCCCTTGCAGGAGGGAAATACAACCCTATAATATTGGAGGACGCGTACAAAGTTCACATGAAACTACTCATAAACTCTGTCGGTCCCTCGGATTTTGGATCGTACAAGTGTATTTCGAAAAACTCATTGGGAGAAGCTGAGGGCAGCATCGAAGTTTACGGTAAGTAATGCCAACTGAGTCCAAAGTTATTGCTAATTCACCTACTTTGCTTAATAATCCCTTACCAAGTATTTTTTAAATCCATCTGTTTGAACATTCTAGTCATTTAAAGTACAAAAAATAAATTATTATGCTTTTTACTACGTGAAATATTAGAAAATTGTTCAACTAAATATTATTTACCGTTGAAAGAACTGCCACCACCAAGTATAAAATAATTTACATAGTACACATAATAATTCTTTAACGAGAATTTTTTAAATTCATCTCTCTGAATATTCTATTGAAAGTTAGAAAAATAGTATAAAAAAAAATTATTATCGTATTTGCCAGCGAATAAAGTTAAATGCTTTTGATTATGCGAAATGTGAGAAAATTGTGTAAGTGAACGTTAAAAGAGCCATTAACGGTTTATGTTCACAGCAGATTCTAACATTTCATATGGCCCAATCCTGCACGAAAGCATTTCACGTCTCCATCGATCGCGCTTTTATTATAATATGTGCATAACTATCTCTGCAAATAAGTCTACTTTACGTTTACCCACTGCGAATAGGTATCTCGAAAACGGTGCCGTGCTTACCGAACATGTTTGCACGCGTAAACTTTGCGTCGTGAAATAAAAGCAAAACAGGAAGTTTGAATCTTCGGGGAAGCATGCGCAACTGGGCAACTGTTTGGAAACAAGTATGAAAATTGACTACCTTGCTCTGCCAGATTTTCATTTTGCTCTACGCATCGTGTCGAGTACTGTTCGATAGAATAAAAATAAATAATAAGCACGAATTAATCGACACTGAAGAAAAGTACAATGTATAGAATTTAAATTATTTTATAAAATTTACAAAATGAAAAATACAGGATGCACCATTTTACGTGATTATATACAGGGTGTTCGGCCACCTATTGTTAATGGGATAGCAATAGGAGATGCACTGTGGTCGAAAGTATAGGCACATATAACGATAACGAGCAGAAGACTTTATTATATAAGGTGAAACACATAATGATCTGTTACGTTGTGTCTGGACGCGAACTCGCGACGATCTGATGAACGCACGGCACGGTGCTCGTCTTAAGAACGGTTCGATTTAACAATCGACGATCGCCCTAACCGAAAAGGGCGATTGCACGCCGTGTGCAAACCACGCCGTGTGCAAACCACGACGTGTGCAACGCTGAACCGTTAACGGATTCCGTCTCGTGATATACCACGAACGGTTTCCTGTGACAACACCACCCCTGGGAAAAATTTTAATGGGAGATCCTAGAGGCCAAAATAAGACGAAAATCAAGAATATCAATTTCTTGACTGAGGCTCCATTAAAAAGTTATTAAAAAGTTATTAAAAAATTAAATTAAAATATTTTAAATCATTCTGAAAAAATTATTTTCGGTTGCGGAGGTCAATTACAATCATTTTTGGTGAATAGACATAACCCCGAAATTCTACCCAATTTCGAGAAAAAAATTCGTTACCGAAAATATAATGTCTGATCATGAATGAATGATTCCCTTGAAATTTCATATGTTTCAAATCGTTCTGGAAAAATTATTTTCGGTTGCGAGGGTCAATTACAATAATTTTTGGTGAATAGACCTACCCCCGAAATCCTACCCACTTTCTAGAAAATAATTCAGTACGGGCGGGATTTTAAACATTACTAACTTTTTAACAAAGCCTCAATCAAGAAATTAGTATTCTTGATTTTCGTCCTATTTTGGCCTCTAGAATCTTCCATTAAAATTTTTCCCAGGGGTGGCCGAACACCCTGCATAAGCTGATTTTGTTTAAAATCAAAATGTAGTCGACAGATTTTTACAGGCTGGGATATTTTTAATTATTATTTCTGGCAGAAAGAAATTAAATTGATATGTAAGCGAGCTTTTGAACAGTTACAGTGCTTGTTAATAATCTGGTATCGTTAAAAAAAAATGTTTAAACTGCGATATACACCGGTGTGCTGAACTTTGGGGTCGAAACTCTCGTAAACTATTAGCTAGTAACATTTAACTTTAGCGTAACATACTCTAATACTCTGCGAAAGGTTATTTAAATATCAACGGTGTTCTTTAAATATTTCCATAACAAGTAAACAATCACATTGTTCCAACTGACGTTAAAACAACGGACAATATAAAATAATTAAACGGAGCTTTCTCTATTTTTTCAAATAAAATTTTGCAAAAATTATTAGTTTCCTTTTGGCTCGAACGTTTCTTCTGTAACCTAGATGCTTTTCCACTCGAACATCTAAACTTCGTTTTTCGTGGAACACGAAAAAACGCATCGATTCGAAATGATTTTATATTTTCACAATGGAATTTTGTTTCAACGCGGGAAACCGCGTATATGAGTGACTGTATAAACAATTCTAAACTCGTGAAACTTTTTTCCCGGGGCTTCGTCGTAAACAAAGAGCTCATGTTCGTACGATTTTTTTTTATTTTGACTCGCTCCCAAAGTTTGGTCGCTGATGAAACATCCTGTATAATAAAATGTTACTGCCTGAAAGTTTAACGACGATGTTTCCTAGGAAACATTTCCATAGATAATAATTATTTAATTAAATAATTTTTATTAAATACTTGCTATTCAACCGAATAAAATGGTAGATTAGCACAATTAAAATAATATAATTTTCGTTAACGAACGTGGTACCATAATGTTGCGCGTTGTGACGCGATGGTGTACTTTTAAATTAATGCTAGTAACAGCGAGCGTTTCTCATGTGTTTCAGAAATAACGGAAGATCCGGCTTCCAGCAACAGCAACACAAAACACAGAGGTGAGTCTCGATTTTCTGAAATTATTTTATTAGGAACGACTATACACATTCAAAAATAATCGTACATTGAAATTTTCTATTTGTATGAGAAATAAATTTCTTCTTCTAAGAAAAAACTATAAAATACCAAATATTATTTCAGAAACGGGACTGAAACAAATATAAGCTGCGTTCAAGAATTATGTAATAACAGATTTTAAATTATTTAACGCGTTAGAATTGTCAGTAGTTTTTTCTGCTATTTGAAGAAAAATGTAGGGAAACACTGATGTGGATCATACGATCTGTGGTATATCTTTTAAGTGTTCCGAGCCCAGGAATCAGGCACATAATCGAGCCGTGTTATTGCTCGCTTTGTGTCGAGTGGTACTTTCCGAATGATGCAGCGTAACGTACTTGCGATGAAATAACGGGTCGTTGATTAATTAGATCGAGTATCTAGTTCGTGCATGCCTATCCACACTCTGGATATTCTCTTGAATCAACCTCTACAAACAGTAGACAAAAGTTCACGTTCTCGCCAATTCACTGCGTCAAAGCTTGTTTCACCCTCGAATAATCGCGTCTCGCTTTCGAAAATAACTCGTACGATTATTGGTTTACGTAATTACGTAATCAAACGAGATCCGTTCCCTCTTACTTTCGCAATCCCCAAATTTTAAATAAATTTTTTAACGTTTATCCAACGTTCCCAGGATAACAAAATAAAAATAAAAATTATATTAGAAAGCTAAGTTACAAAATAAGAATTCCAGAGACCTCGATAATTCTATTAGGTGTACAAATGAATAATCCAATTTTTTCAGCCACATTCAATGTTTATTTTAAAAGAAAATAAATTGGAAGTACAATATCGGATAAGGCGTGCTGCATCGACAGGAGCAGGTGATAATCAGATGGAGCAATGTCTAGTGAATACACCGGGTACTGCAAGACGTCCCAGCTAAGACTCATTATAGTGTCTTTTATATGGGAAGCAATATGTGGTCTGGCGTTGTCATGCAACAACTTCACTGGACGTTCTTCTTTGCCAGTATACGAACGTTTTCGTTCCAATGCTTGACTCAAGCAGATTAATTGATGTTGGTTGCAATCCGTAGTAACTGTTTTACCCGGTTCCAACAACTCATAATAAACCACGCCCTTGATATCCCATCAAATGCAGAGAAGAACCTTCTTTCCGAAGCGATTGGGCGATTTTGCAACCAATGTTAAAGCTTCGCCGGGATTTACCCATGACTTTCTGCATTTCGGATTAACATAGAGTATCCACTTCTCATCGCCCATAACGATTTTCCAGAAGAAAGACTTTCGACGCTGCTTATTAAGATGAGAAAGACACGCTGCCACTCGTTGATTTTTATTGGTTGCAGTGAGTTCATGCGGAATCCATTTTCCTTCTTTCTCGATCTTTCCCATCTCACGTGAGCGTTTGGAAATCGTTTGCTGGGTTACTCCTAACTGTCCTGCAAGTTGTTTTTGCGTTTGTGCCGCATTCTCAGCGGGCAGTTGTTCCAAATCATCGTTGTCGCACTTTCGAGAGCCTCCAGGGCGTTTTTTGTCGATTAGACTCAAATCACCGCTTTTAAACCGCATAAACCAAAATGCGCACACATCATACGATACGACACCTTCACCGAGAAAGGAACAAATCGATTCGCATGCTCTTGCAGCATTTTTCCCTTGTTGGAATTCGTAAAGAATACAGTGTCGGATATGTACCTTATCTTTTGCCATTTTCGACTCTACTAAATTGAATACTTTTGAAGGTTATGTTGGGCCTTTCGCTAAACTATCTTTTGTTTTAACTAGCTATATGTCAACACTATATGACCGCAAAAGAGCGGGCAAATCTATTGACTTTAAATTTGATTTTATAACTGCTTAAGATAATTTGGATTATTCATTTGTACACCTAATATTAGTCTTCGTTCGGAATTTTATTTAGAAAGCTACGCAACAGAAAAATTTCAAAGACCTCAATAATTCTATCTGTCTCATTAATAATATCAAAAATTTCTCTAAACAAATATAATATTTTGTCTCGGAGTCCATCGATTAATTACTCCGACGATAAAAGAAGGATAGAAAGAAAGGGTTTTAAATAAATTTGGATTCGTTGAAGGTTCTGTAATTAAATATTTAATATGCAAAATCTATGAACGAGAGAGGAACGATCAAGTCGTTTTATTTTTTTAATTAATGTTTGCATGGATATTGAAATCGGGAAAAAATTTAGGAAAACCTTTGAGATTTGCAAGGCGCGGGAAAAGGGTTGATGAACAAAGTGTGAGTTCAAAATGGCATTCACCCGTGGCTTTTTATAGAGCCGTTCTTCTAAACGTCTAGCTTCCAGCAACGGGATTCTGCCGACTTTTGTGCGTTCTTTTTGCAACCAGCTGGCTGTCGGAAGCAAATGAGATGGTCGGCTTGTAAATCTGACACGGTGGATCCTATTCATTCACAATTTCACACAGAAATAGTTCCGACCCCGACTTGGAAAAACGAGCGTGCGCCAACGACGTAGCTGAACTGTCCTTGGGAAATTTTCAAGCAGTCGGGTCACATTTATGCAGGGCGTTCGCGTTATTACTATCCGACATTTTTCTCGCGGAATTTATAAAAAACTATGCCAACTCTGGACGTCGAAAATACACTATCGAAAATGGGTGCTTTATATAAAAAAAAAGAAAATTGTCGCTATAAATTTAGAACTATGGATGTTGTTCGCGTTCGAAATGGTTGTGGTTGGATTGAAATTTGTTTTATTTTACAATGATAAAGTGGACTGTATATGTGGGCATGTGTTATTGAACGCTCTTGAACTATGTGAGGACCTGTTCCCCCATTCTATTTTACAAAATGTGTTCAATGTTCGTCGCTCGAAAAACAAACTGAGAGTCTGTGTCTCTCAAAGACCAAACTAAGAGTGCAGGCGTGTCCGGAGTCCGTTTCCTCCTCAGCTTAGGTCCCCACCAAGAGGTGGTTTGGAGGTGTTTTCCAGATTCCGCTGTGGAATCTAGACTGTATTGATTGGCCATCGACTGGGAGAGGAGGACCCATTTTCCTGCCCCATTTCGGCAGGAAACACCTCCCTCACCTCGGTGGTGGAGGAAAGTCCCAGGCCACCCCGGTGAGGGTGGACGAGGTTTCCTCCCCAAGTCGAAGGCCGCATTAATTTATCAAGGAAGAAACGGAACTCCGGATTATCAACGCAACAAAAGGTTGCGTCTCGTTTGTATCTGTTTTATGGCTATATTGTTCCGCGTGTCGGCGATGGCCGATGTCGTCGGTGCCTACATTTGGCCTCGATGACCGTGCCACCCGCCGCACAATATAGTCCTTCGCTGGTCAACTCGAGTGTAGCGTTTTCTTTCAAACCAAAATTCCTTTCTTTTACACTGACATTTGCCAGATGCGGGAGACTCGAAGACTTTCGCAACGTAGTACCGATCCCACATCTGGCAACATAAAAGAGCGGAAACCATTCGAGTTGGCCAGCGGAATGTTCGCATTTTGTTTCACCGAACAGATGTCGTTCTTTTCAACAATTGTTTACTAAATACACCATTTTCGAGAACCGTCGCACAATGGGCGACATCAGGACAAAAATCGAGTTTTAACTTTTGTTTAGATGACCGAAATCAATTATTTTACGTCTTTAACAATACCCCAAAGTTTATGAGAAACAAGTAAAATGAGTTGAAAGTTATTAAATATAAGTTGATATGTATATTTAAGTATTGTCATTAACGCTCATCTGTTTAATTTCATAATATTTTTATATCTGTTCAAACTCATCGTATACAGCTAGAGCTGCGTGAAAAATTATCAAAAAATTTTCTTAGATAGCTTTTTATACATTGCATCAATAAAAAAATGTTTAATATTGTTTTGAAATATGTTTAATAATTATTTTCAAGTTTAATAATTGCCCAGCGTATTAGCTCGATTTTGAATAAATAAGTAAATTTCCGATGCGCAATTTAATAAGTTTGCCTTATTATGCCTGAACGAAACTAGGATAAATCTTTTGTTTAAAGTATCCTTAAAATTAAGAAACAAATCCCATTTGCCTATTTTTGTCTATTGAAAAGATATTAATAATATAATATTATATGTATTTTCACGTAGACAGTTAAGGGGGAATACCCATGATCAAGAAAGGCTATTTATGTGAATCTCTTGTAAAAAATATCTTGAATTAAGTTCATTGCATGTGTTAATAACATTTTAAAATTAATAACAAATTGTTATTAACAAATGAATATATTTAAAATGGAATCTATACTACTTTATGAGCGAAATATATTGGACTATCTATCTTGTCGTGATGAAAAGGCTTATTGTTTAAATATCGCGTTAATTCGACAATCGAAAAACGTCGCTTAAACCATTGCGTGATCGAAAGAAAAAACGAGCCATTTCTTGTATGGCGTTGTTCCTAGTTTACGCGACATCCCAGAGCCTTCTCTGCGGCGTAATACGTTTCAGGAGCAATACCGCGTAGAAAAACTGCAAATTTGCTTTCGATAACAGGCACGCAATCGGCCCAGTAACGGTTCCCAGAAAACAGGTGTTGCTACGCCGAAATAAAGAGAGGATACAACGATAATAAGAGATAGACAACGAAACCAGACAGCGCCGCGAGACGACGATTTTCCCTCTCGTGGCCGCGATTAAGAATGTCTGTCTCTTCGATCATTCGCTTTCTGGTTCTCGACGAGTTCGGACCTCCAAAGCCGACCTCGTCCAATATCGCAAATCGATACATACGATCAATTACATTTGTCTAACTATATCGCCGAAACACAAAACCGACAAGGTACGATATCTAGACTGCTGCGGATTCGAAAGAATCTAGCCAAGTCGAATTTCGTACACCACGGTTTCACGTGTATAACTCGATTTCTGCGGTGAACGAACCATCTAGACACGGAAAATTGTCTCTAAACTTGAGTCATTTTACAACAAGCAATCGGTGGCTGAATATAATCAAC